GGTTAAAGGATCAGAACTGGTTTCTGACTGGTTAAAGGATCAGAACTGGTTTCTGACTGGTTAAAGGATCAGAACTGGTTTCTGATTGGTTAAAGGATCATCTCTACTCTTTGGCCTTTAACCCAACTGAGACTTGATTTTACTTCATTTTTATTGGGATTGATTTTTTCTGTTTAACTCGTCGTTTTATTGTGTTTTAAACTGAGTCTTTGCTTCACTGTGTGCTTGGCTTTGTATCTTTGTTTTTATGCTCTTTTCTTGTTTTTAATGATGTTCAGCACTTTGTTTCAGCTGTGGCTGTGTTAAAGCGCTTTATAAATTGATCCACTCTGAGAAGGTGCTATTTATAAGACTGAGCTCAATACAGCACCTCAGACTGAAGAAGTCTTTCGGATGAAAGATTAAATGTTTCTACATTTTTTGTTTTTGTTTGTTTGTTTGGGGTTTTTTTTTGAATGTCCAGAGGACCAGATTGAACTTTTTTTAGATTTTTCTACCTGGATCATTGAGCATGCATCAGGAAATTTATAAATAAAGTTGATGATGGTGATGATCAGAACTGCACCGCAGGAAAACAACCACTTTAAATGAACTCCGCACCAGTTCTGCCAAGAAGAAGAGTTCACATCTCAACCAGAATTCTGTCAGAACCTTGTTGATAGAGAGACACTGAGGTTCAGGTGAGAACATCTGATGTAACCAGACATTAGTGGGGTGTATGGATATATATGAGCCTGTGGGCTTCAGTACTCGTTGTGCAGGATAAGTACTACTCTCAGTTCTGGCACCCAGAGCAGGTCTCAGAGTTCTGACAGTGTAAACTCTCGGTCCCTCCAGAACCTGCAGCGGTCTGACACCTGTCAGAGTCCAGTACTCACTTCCTGTCCTGTATCTGGCTGCATGATTCTGTTCAAGCCTGTTGTTCATTAACCGCGTTACCTTCTGCTGCTGCACAAAGATACCAAGGTGTTTCTGCCGGGTCGGCCCACCAGAACCCACCACCACACTAACACACGGTGCATTCAAGGCCCTCCGTCTGCTGTTACCCAACCAACCTTCATGTGACCTCGGCAGGAAACTGAAGAATGATTTACCAGCAGAGTAAACATCCAACCCGCCTGCAGCTCTGTGGTTTCAAGGTCGGACTGCAGAGTCACGTTCAAGCTCAACGATGAGAAAACGTCCCGTTTTAAATCCTGACAGGCGACACCTCAGAGGTGAGTCCAGACAGAAACATGTGGCTGAAGCAGCTGCAGCTGGACTGATTTAATTCAAACTAACGAAAGAGCTGCCGTGTTGGTCAAACTTACATTAAACCGGGTTTAAATATAAATCCCTGTGCAGAAAACTTATGTGACTGTGTAAAAAACAGTCTGAACAGTGGGTTCAAACCAGTTTAAACAGGTGGTTGAAACCAGTTTAAACAGAGATTCAGATATTCAGATTCAGGGATATTTATTTGTCATTCGCATCTCATGTGGTACATGTGGCGTTTAAACTGTTTAAACCAGTGGTTTAAACAGGTTCAAACAGGTGGTTTAAACCAGTTTAAACAGTTGGTTTAAGCTAGTTTAAACCAGTGGTTTAAACCAGCATATCAAACTGGTTTAAACCACCTGTTTAGACCAGTTTAAACCAACTGTTTACACTGGTTTAAGCCCATTGTTCAGACTGTTTTTCCTGTTCCTCCGTGTTTGTTTTCCTGCTTCATGAGGAACATCAGTTCGGCTCTAATTGGACGTTTCCTCTGTGTCTCTGTCAGCGTCTCGTCCTCTGAGGACACACTAACGAAGACGTCTCCTTCTGTTGTGCAGAGTCATTAAGATCCTGAACACGGTTCTGTTTGCGTTCAGGAGGATCTCAAGATGATGGATGGATGGATGGATGGATGGATGGATGGATGGATGGATGGAT